ATTCTTTTTTTTCTCTTTTTTTTTTTTTTTTTGATCTCTTGATCTCGTATCAATATTTATAAATATTCTTTCTTAAATTTGTTTTATTTATTATTTATAAATATATTTTAAATAAATACAATTAAGAAATGAATGAAATAATTATTTAAAAACTATAATTTCATTTCGATAAATTTCAGATCTGCGAGGAAAAGGAGAAAAGAGACAAGGAATTTAAACTGGACTTGATGATCGAAAGGGAGAGAATAAGATTACGAGTAAGTGCAATGTGCAATACTTCTATTTTTATAAAAATTGTTCGACGATATATATTATTATATTTTTAAAAATCAGTATATTTTTAAAAATCAATGATTGGAATAATTAAAACGATTAACTTGTATTAATTATTCCCTAATTATATTACTTTATATTATAATATTACAATGAAAAAATGAAGGAAGAAGCCATATTGAGAGAGAAAAGGGAAGATGAAATAGAAGGAGAAGAAGAGGAAGACGAAGAAGAAGAAGAAGAAGAAGAATTTTTCGAGGATTGGATCTTATTAAACGAGTAGTAATAATCGAGGATTATTTCAAGAAATTTCAAGGTTAAAGTAAAAATTGTTCTATTATATAACAACTATTATCATTACAAAAGTAAAAAAAAAATTACTATTGTTCAACAATAAGTAATAAATTCTAAACATTTATTAATAGATTATTATTATTAGTAGATTAATAAATAAAATTGCGTTTGTTTGAATAGAAGGCAGCATGTGAGTCACAGAGAATAAATTTAATCTTTCAGTTTCTTCCTTTTCTAAATATGTAATTTTTGTACAATAAAAAAAAAAAAACTATTCCTTTGGAAAATAACAAACACTGGATCTTGTACTTTGTTTAAAATAATTGTACGTAGATATCAAGGATTAAGAAAATTAGAATGTAACTCACAAACATTTATCATTAATTTTGACATTCTAAATCCACTATCTATTGTACTTATTTCAATTAAATTATTTAAAAAAAAAGCATTTAGAAGCACTTAGAAAAGAAAATATAAATAAAAAATATCAAATATCCAATAATACTGATGGGTCCATAACTAAACCTATACGTATGGAAGACTCAAAACTCATCTATTCTTTTTCTTTTTACATAATAATTTTTCAGTCTAGCAATTTTGCGTAGATTGAATGTGGTTATGGCGAGAAATACTACGCAGATATGAATTATTTCTAGGACGGCAAGATTCAGAATCGAAAAGGATTCTGGAATGTGAATAAATCACAATAAAATAACGAACGAAATCACAATTTGTCCTCCCAGCAGAGTATTACGTAAACGAATTGCTTAAATTTCGAACATTGTCGTTTCTCTCGAATCTTTCTTCTCATCTCTTTGAATTCGCGCCAAGAGGCCAGTTCTTTCGAGTTTTTCGGTCCCCAATCCGCGGATGGTACGAAGGCTGACTTGATCATCTGTGAAATTTCGATCGAATTATTATTATTCTTCAATTGTTTAAATGCAAATTATTTTGTCATTCTGCATTTTTTCCCTCTTTTCTTTTAAAAAATTGAATAATGGAACGTACCTCGAACGAGGATAAATTTCTTTTGGACATTATGGCGTAGATCATCCAGAATGGTACTTGTAGGATACCAAATGCGCAAATGGTCCATCCAGCAGCTGTAAATTACGACAATAAATTTTCTTCACGGAGGATATTTTTTAATTTAATTATTTTATCTTTTTTTAAAATTAAAAATTTAAAAATTCGTGAGAAAAAGATCATTTTTAATCAGTTAAGAATAATGATTAGTAACATAGAACAAATAATAAATACACACCATGTGCACTATCAGGGTACGAGATACCACTGTATGTCACGGGTGTCAGACTGATTAAGGTATAAACTAGGATCACAGCCAGCAAAAGTGGAGTAATCACACCCCAACAGAACCTCCAATAGACTGATGGCCTTCTCTTCAACATGTATTCCACATCATCCAAAAAATTTTCTAACCCATAAATCCAAAAGATACCAGTTATCTCTAGAGTGGCCAAGATGAATACCACGAAAGATGCTGCATAGTAATCGACCAATTCCAGCATGAATTGACCACCCTAAAAAAAAAAAAAATTTATTAATTACAAGTGTTTCGTTGTATTTATTTCTTTCTTTGTGATTTTATTTTGACTTACAGGTGTGCAATAAATAATTCCAGCGCAAAATCCAAACGTAACCGTACCGAGCACGACGTAGATGTATTTCAAATTTGGAAACTGATCCCTGATAATCGTGATGAGAGAACCTGCAAGAGCGATGGCGCTTCCTATGCCGAGGACGTATAGCATTAAGAAGAAGAGAACGGAGAATAACTGAAAATTGAACGAAAAATAGACAAAATAATGATAAATATGGGAATATAAGAAGAGGAATATAAAAATAAATAAAAATTATTTAAAATTTTTATTCTAGAAATAATTAAATATAATAAAAGTTTAGAGAATGATAGGACGATCAATTGTAAATTGTTTGCAACAAATTGAAATAAATTATCTTTTAAAAATTTAACTGAAAAATTTTGTACGTATTCTAATAATGAAATATTTAAATATGATATAAAAAATAATAAAAATCAATAATATAGAATAAAGATAAAGATAAAGATAATATAGAATAAAGATGATTTGCGAAAAATCAATCGTGAATCAATTTCTACAATAAATTTTCTTACCTCTTCAAAACCACACGTTTTATCGTATAAGAAAAATTGTAGAAGTGGTTACAGGGCAATTAAACGCGTACTAGATTCCTTACCTGCGGTAGTACAGTAAACTTCGCAATAGCATCTGGATAAGAGACGAAAGCAAGACCGGTTCCACCGCGGACAACGTTGCTGATGTCCTCGGTGCCCAGTTCGTGAGCTAAATTTCCAAGGATACCAAAAATGGTGAAACCGGCCATTAAACTGGTGAACGTGTCCAACGTGGTCACAACTATGACGTCTCTGAAACAAATGGTATAAAATGTAATATATGTCTAATCTAAAATCTTAATCTCTAAAATCTAAATCCTAAATCTCATCCTAAAATCTAACGAATTTATAACTAGAGTTTATGAAAAATATAAATCTGTACAAAAAATGACACGAAACGTAAAACATTTTATAGATTCATTTAAAAAATGAATCAAATCTCATAAATATAAATATTACTTTATAATCAGATTCACATGATATTGCACAAAAAATTCTCATTCATATCTCATAAATTAAAAAATAAAAAATTAATGTAATATACATACATAGGTCATATTCATAAAAATTTGATTTTGCATGTCATATCAATTTAGTAATAATCTGTAAATTAAGAAACATTGAAATATTCTACAAGAAAGAATAAATCTCAACTAATTTACTAAACATATTATGTTCAATAATAAGATATTTTAATAAATATTACATTAACTCTATAGCTATACTCAAATATACGAATCAAAAAATTGATTTTGCATAAACATTCTCTAAATTAAAAAAAAAAATATTATTTTCTATTATTCTAAAGAAGAATAATCCCAAGTAACCTGTATATATTGTGTCTGAAGTTATTGTACGAGGAATACATGACGACACCACCGAAGCAGACAGACAGTGAAAAGAAACACTGCGTAACAGCCGCGTACCACACGTGGGCATCGAACAACTTGTCCCAGTCGGGTTTGATGAAGAAAATGATCCCGTTTACGGCACCGTCCAGGGTTACCGCTCTGACCAACAAACTTATCATTATGATGTAAGGAAAGATCGCGAGGAAATAGGACGCTTTCCCTGAGCTCTTCATTCCACGTGCCAGCACGGCGAATATGCAGCCCCACGCGAGTAACAGGCATAACGTCAGCTTCCAATCTGGCAAACCGATGCCGTCATCGATGCTCTGCTTTTCTTTTAATACTGATTTTCTAGAAAAAAAAAAAAAAAGTGACTTATCAACATCAATATTAATTTTAATTTTGATATTTTTCAATTTGTGAATCCTTTTAATTCTCGAGTGCTTATTGCAGATAAGAGATATTGCAGAATATTTGCAAATTTTTGATTTAAACGTGAATTCGAATTTTATAATTTTATTCATCGGAAATTCAATTTTGGAGATTTCTTTGTATTTTTTTCAAAACATTCCAACTGTTTTCAACAATTATGTTACAGAAATTAAATTTTAACGATCTCTTAAATATAATCTTCGAGAATACTAAGAGAAAACTTTTACCTAAAGTAAAGTTCAGCGGAGGTTATCAACTCGGTACCGTTTTTCTGGCTGATGTTATAAGATCCTGCCGAATCGATGCAAGAATCTCCCCATTCTTTCAGACACGTGGACCAAGGAAGCTGAGATTGGAAACTTCCAATGAGATAGTAAAGAGTTATCGACATAAGGGAACAGTAATAAGTTCCTACAGCTATCGTGGAGAACATTTGCGCCCAGCCAACTCCTCGAAGTCCAGGTGCTGAGACAAACGACTTATTAAATCAATTAATTAAACTAACGATTGGCGAATATTTATTTATTATTACTTCTTTTAATACTCCGAATTAAATTCTTAAATTCTTAAATTCTTTTCTTTGCCGATTAAACTACCCACTACTGGATGGAAAACTATTAGACCCATTATATACTCGGGTCAAAACAACAATGATTTACGGGACGTAAACTGTAATTTAAACCTGTTACATACATCGGTTTGCTTTAAGTTGCGAAAACCGGTCCTCAATCTCGCAACTTCCTGCTCGAAATCCTTGCGTCATCTTTCGTCATTAAGAGAAAATTTGAAGAATGCATGTAATATTAAGAAATATAATGAAATGTTACTCGTTATAGTAATAAATCGAATATTAGCTTTATTCTCTTCAATCGTTTTTCTTCTTTCAAAACAATTTATAGTCAATCACCATTATTACAATAGCCTTCAATTTAATGTTTCTAAGTGTTAATAAAATTGCTAGTAAAATTGATCGAGCGTGGATTCGTTAAATTGTATAATATGTAAATATCACGTTTAATTTGCATCATACCTGCCGACCAAATTTTCACCGAAGATCTGCTGCAGAATTGGCCTATGATCATCTCAAGATAATAAAACGGTTTCCCAACGAGGAAAAGAACGATGATGTAAGGTATTAGAAACACTCCACCGCCATTTTCGTAGGCAGTGAATGGAAATCGCCAAACGTTGCCAAGACCTATGGACATGGCTATGCACGACATCAAGAATTCTAATCCATTGCCCCAGGTAGCCCTGTCTTCGTTTTCGGAGACAACCTGCAACAAAATTGGAAGAAAAAAGTTAAAAAGGGAAAAAATAAAAAAACAAGTCGCTTTTTCTTTTTTTTTTGAAAAATTTTGATGAACCTACCGTTTCCTCCGAGAGAGACAAAGAAAGTGGTAACTTGCGATCGTCTTGGATCCCATAATCGAGGTTGAACGATTTGTCCGGATACTGGAATAAAAAAATTTTCTGGATCTGCTTCATGGATCGTTACTTCGGATGATTTAATTTACCTTTTCGTCAACATCTGTCGTTGGACGTTGAAAATCAGTCGTTTCCTGGCCATTGTCCCCGATGAAGGCAGCGTTTTGTTGTCCTTGCTACGAAAAAGTTATTACAACTTTGATTCATAAAACAATTAGTCATATGTTTATGTCATTTTCGTTACATACATAAGTTCATCGTGCGTATATAATATAATTCGTTAATGTAAAATAAAGTTATGCGCAAAAATATTTCAAATATTTATAATATGCGACGAGAGCGATGGAAATGTCATAGAAAAAGTATGCAAATAATTACTCAATATTTAAATACATTCGCGTATACGCGTATATACTTTATATATACGTTTCTTTCGTAATAATTATTTTTTAAAAATTTATAATAAAATTTTTGGAAATAGACGAACATTCCACGTTATACTCTACATCAGTGAAAAACCTTTAACGTAACAAAATTACCTTTTACCGTGGCTTCAGCCAGAAAGAACCATGACACAAAATAACTAATCTTTGCATTCCTATTTGCTACCACTCAAGGACACTTTCCACGGATTGAAACTCTACACGCGATGTTAGAAGTTACAAATTACTCGATATGTATAGATTAAAATAATTTCTTATTGCGAACACATTATTTGTTTAAAATTATTATTTTATTTTTAAGCTTTTTTTTTTTAAATTAAAATAAACTGTTATTACCCACATTTATTTAATCTTATCTTTGAAAATTTTTAATAAATATAATATACTATTATAAAATAATCTTTTTTTAAAAGCTTATTCACTTCGTTAATACATAATCTCGTAAATATTCTTATCATAAATATATATATCGCTATTTAAAGACGATATTCAAATAGAAATTTCATTTTTTTCTTTTTCTTTTTCATTTTCGAAAAAGAATGAGAATACAGTATCGCATAATTACTCTCATAATTATACCACGAGTATTGTATCCACGCGATACCATGATATTAGCGATAAACATAATTGTGTCGAAGCTGCATACTTGTCGATATATGTACACTGCTTAATCATCAATACGTTCGAAACATCGTTGTAAATGATTTGTCATTTCGCATCGTGCGATATTTCAAATAGTTTCCAAGGCATTCGTGAAAACATAAATCGAAATAATGTAATCACGCGATACCAATGTTGCGTACGAGCTATGTATGGTCTATTTAACGATGAAATATATAGAAAGACTGGCGGATTTTAATCCATTGCAATCCAATATGGCGATCTGATTTCTAACCTAAGTATTGCTCAAGATCTATTTACAAGAGTGATTGCGAGAGTAATTTCGAATTAATAATTAAAAATAGAAAATTTGTTTTGTTTTTTTAAATTTCAATATTTCAATCGAAATATATTAATTTATATATAATTTTTCTCTACTATGTATATTACTTTACTTTACTTTGTAAACTGTTGATCTAACTTTCTGAAATAAAATTTTATATTTGTTAATTTTGAGTTTGCTTTTTTAAAATATATGTAATCGTGACATAGATATTTTTGTGTTTAAGCGTCATCATTATCTCGGAAAAATCTAGTAACCCAGTTTCTAGTAGAAGTTAATTGTATTTAACTGATGTTAAATATAATTATAAATATGTTTAACGTTTCGAGAGTTAAGAGATTTCTCAATTATTATTTAACATTTATCGCGAAATATTAGCAGAAGGAAAAGAAATTTCATCAAGAGAGAGAAGAAAGTAATAAAGAAAACTTTCACGATCCATTTACATCTTTTTGTGCGTAACATTACAACATCACGAAAGTAATTGTGTTTTGCTTTCATATTTATTCTCTCCCTCTACTAATATTTTGCGTAGAGTTAAATAAGAAGTTTCGTATAAATAGCGAAGATACTGAGAAATTTTTATATCTAAAAATATTTTTTTCTAAATCTTAATTTTTATCGAGACAGGATTCAATATCTTTTTAATCACATTTTTTTTATTATGAAATTAAATTCATAAACAAACAATTGCCATAACTAGAACAAATATCTATCTACAATCATATTAATCCTGTTTAACATTTGATAAAAAATTTTATGTAGAACGTTACATTCGAGATTGAGAAATCTTTCTTTTTATGCAACAATTATTAATTTTTCATATTGATACGATCAAAAAAACATTATTCTTTTATAAAATATTTTTGAATATGTTTAAAGAAAATTATACGAAATTCATTTTTTCTTTATTATTAGATTCGAACGATTATTATTACTTTCAAATATTTCTCAATAAAAGAAAAAAATTCGAAATTTAATTAGATACTATATTTGAGCAATTAAATTTTCAATCAATGAAATCTTTTTAATTACCAGGAACTTGACTAATGGAAAAACCAATTGAATTGATGATTGGTTTTTTTTAATAATTCTTAAATAGCTACGTCATCAACTATATCTTATTCATCTCTAAACCACGAGTTATGGAACTTTTTGTCTCGAATCTGCTAAACATTCTTTTTATAAATATCAGTCTATCGTATTGTAATAAATCTTTTTATTAAATTTTATCGAATGTTTCATGGTATGTAGAATCATATATTTGAGATTTATTTTAAAATCGGAACGAGAAGTCAAAGAAAATGATGGATTCATCAGAAAAATCATGAAAATTATCAAAATTCGATAAAATTATTGATAATATCGTGAAATTAAAAAAAAAATTCGAATATCGCTTTGACGAACGAAGTTAAATAACGATCTAAAAAGATGATCGATGATCTGGAGCAATTAAATAGACTACTGATCCACAAGATCAAGTGGAAGATCAAGTTCTTTTTTTGTTAAAAAAAGTGATACGTTGATGAATTTAATTATCATGGATTTTTTTTACAATAAATTATTCTTCAATTTTGAAACAAGAATATAATTTCTAGATTTTGAATTATAGAAATATTATAATTTTTTAATAAATACTTTTTGAAGTTATAAATTATTAATTATTATTTTAAAATAGCATAAATAACGAATCAACAATGAAGATATTATATATATTTTCTCACGTTATTTTATTCACATTTTCATTTTCATTATTTTGTCTTATTTATATGTTGATTTTTTCATTCTTTTAGTCTCGTATATGATTTTTTAAAAAAGAATTTTTATTTCCATATTTTTAATATCTTCATAAACATTTTTTGTGTTAACTCTTTTAATCAAAGTTGTTCTTAATTAACGGAAGATTCACATATATAAAACTTTGAGATTTTCTTCATCCGATTATATACAACAATTTAGTTCCTCCTCAAAGCGCACAATTTCGTTACATCATATTTGCGTTTCAAATTACTATCAAAATTTGATCAAAATTTAATACTAAACATTCCAATATTTCAATAAATGTCTAATAAAAATGATATAAGATAAGCTTAATCAAAATTTTTCAACAATCATTATTACATCGTAGAATTCATCCATTGCAAATTAACATATTATCTGCTATTGAATAAAAATCTTAATTACGAAAAATATTTTATTTATTTTATTCAATGAATCGTCAGATTTATTGAAAGCAAAATAAAAAGATAGATAATTGAATTTAGAAA